TTATCGAAAATGATTGCATAAGCTAATAATTCAAATTGAAAAAACAATTAAAATAAACCTATGAACTAATTGATTTGAATTGGGTTAAATTCATCGGCTTGTTTTATATGCTCATGATATAACAAGGAATCCTATTATATAAATGTAGTCTTCTCATTTAGGATGGGTTCCCTCTCCATAAAACCAAATTTAAGTAAGAGGCAGGGCAAGAGGAAAATTATGTGGATTAAGTTAAAGATATTTCATATACACTACTCTGCGGCATCGTGTCCCTGTCACTTTTGTCCATAAACAAATCCTATACCTAATTTTCCTATTCTTCATTAAAACTAGGTGTATCATAACATATTAAAACAATAATACAATTTGTATTCAAAACTGTGGTTCAACAGATGAATTTTCGTTCCAAATTTTAAAGTAATTCAACCTCAAATGTGAAGCTCAGATTTTACCTGGCACCATTGAGTTGGCAGCCTGCCAGCATTCTAATATGTAATGTAGATACAGTTCAGGTTCACAGGAATAGGGAGGACATAGAATGCAAGGCTCACGTGAACAATATCACTGCTTCTCTTAAGCTGAGGAGGAAGGAGGAGGGGCGTGACATCGGCAGACTAGGGATGGAGCCACCCTTCGTGTCCTGGATCCTGGAGAGGTGAGTTTGATAGATCTTTTACACAAGCACACAAGAAGTGAAGTTGTCACCATGTTTCATCACAAATGCCAACATTTCAGGGCCAAGCAGGGTTCCTTCATTAGGTTGACATAGTCAAGGCTTAAAATTACCACTTGTCCCCTCGCAATTTGCGAGTGAAAATTGTGTGGGGGGGCGAGTGGAAATGAAGCCATTGAGTCAAGCACTCGGTCATGGACCAAGTAACCAACTCCTGGAGGGATCCCAGATGGCTTACCCATATGCTGCCACCCACAGCAGTGCACCTTCCTATGTTAAAGATGGCCTGATGATAAGGTCCGTTGGTCGACAGAAAGCCCAGTGTTCGACTGAGCGCCAATCAGAATCCTCCTTTTTCCTCCTTTTTCCCGCACCAATCACTGAATATGCTGACTGGGCTGTCTAATAAGAGGCGGGCGGTGATTGGCTGTTTGATCCTGTGCTGATCGATGTAGTAGGTGAGTAGTGGAGGCGGGAGAGCGCCGAGTGGCTTTGGTGGGACGCTGTAGGTGTGCAGGGCTGGTTCTTTCCGTGTCATTAAGCTTTTAGAGCTCAACCTAAGTATGTCAGCCATTTCCAGGAACTGTACAGAACCATACAGGGTGTCTTCCTGCTTATTAACCCCTTGAAGCCCGGAGTGTTACACTCCTATCCTGTCCCGGTGTTCTAAAATTCCAGGGCAGGGCAAGGCAACTAGTGGCGAGTAACTTTGAAGTCCTAGCTAGTAGCTCAGGACATTCAATTTTCAGCCCTGGACATAGTGACAATCTCACCCATGTCATCACTATGTAAACCACAATCCTAAAAAGTTGCAATGCTGTATGGGGTGCAGGTGACTCACGACTCTATTCAGAACCTGCACACATTGTAAAGCATAGTCCTAACAGAGTATTTTTCAAACTTTTTCCACAACAGCATGCTTCAAAATTCTGAGACCTTAGTCTAAAATATAGAAAACATCAATGTAAAAAATTAGAGGTCAGAATAAAGTAGCCACAGCAGAAGATTCATCCATTCACACTCATTAACCAGGATGGAGGAAAATCTAAAAATATATGGCCAGCTTTAGCCATTATTTTATAAAAAGAGATCATCTCATAAAAATATGTCCCAACAAGCAGCAGCAAAGCTCAGGTGTCTAGTAGGACAAAGGAAACTGTGACGAGGTAAATACAATTTTACATGGAAAGTTTGTTTCCAACTGCATCCCATAAGGAATTTTAACTTAGGTAAGTATTATAACATTTTGGATAGTGGGGTCCCAAGAAACATTATAAATATTTTGTTTTTGCCCAGCCATTTGCAGTCCTATTTGAACCCTTACCTAATCCTATTAGAGAGTCAGCAATTGATAGCTGCCCCTCAGCAAAGTGCCATGTCCTTTAAAACCACAGAATTTGTAACGATCGCGGCTTGCGTTTCACAGGGGACCGCAGCCGCAAGCAGGAAATGAATCGCCGATGCGCTCCAGCGTGGAACGCATCGGGCCGCCCAGCGCCACCAGCACCTCCCCTTTCCAATCCATATAAAAAGCAGGAAGCCGGGTCAGTATGGCGTTCTATTATTCGTTTGTGAACGCCATCTGACAGCCTGCTCCCTGCTGTGTGGACCAAGAACCCCCGAGATCCTGGAAACCTTCTCTGCCAATAACCCTGCAAAACAGCAAGTATACGTTCTCTGTGACTGTAACAGAGAACTCCACTGCTGCTAGCCAAGATCTTCACTACTGCTACTAACTTGCAAGGATTGCCTATTTTTCATTGATTGGACTCTCACTCCCTCTAGGGGAGAAAACTATGAACTGCGATTACTTATGTATGCCTATGAAAGTCTACCCATTGTATGAAATGAATACCCTGAGTACATAGATTGCTGAAACTAACTGCTATTAAGGATTACTTTCATATATTTGGGACCCTCTCTCCAAACCAGAGTAGTACCTGTAAGACCATGCCTAACGGCAGAGTTACGACTGCGCATGCGCATAGGCCTGTTCACCACATTTGCGGGAAGCAGCGGCTACTGCGCATGCGCAAACGGCAGCTACTGCGCATGCGCAAACGGCACATGGCGCACAGGAAGTGACTTGCTCTGTCTGGGAATGATCCTATTTAAGCTGGCCCAACTCCCAGGATCTTTGCTGAGTGGTCTTTCAGCTTTAGTGTGTGTTTCCTGTATCTTGCCTGTTGCCATATCATCATCGACCGGATTTCGTGACCTTGCCTGATTGCCGCCTGCCTCCGACTTCTGCTTGTCCCTGGATTCTCCTTTGCCTTCTCCTTTTGTACCTTGCTGCCCGATTGTTGCTGACCCTGGCTTGCCTGACTCCGCTCTGCTCCAGCCGCATCAGCACCTGCTTCCTGCCTCACTGAAGACGGGAGTCAAGGACCTGCCCAGGCCCAGTGTCCTGCATCGTCCGGCACCGGTGCTGCCCGTAGTTTCCCCACCTCCTGTCTCCACATTCAGGGGTGTGGAACTCGTGCTGCAAAGGAGGCCTCCTCACAACTCGGCTCCCCACCAGGTACGTGATAGTACCACTGAAATTTCAAATCTGCTGACTTATGCTTTATACGAGTTCAACATTGTATGCTAAAAATGCCCTAATTGAACTGTGAAAACCCCTTGTTAACTGCGGCACATGATGGCAGGGTTCCAAACTCTCCGCTTAAGACTTTGAGAGTGACGCCTGGAACCCGACCCTGAAGCCGTACCCTTGGGAACAACCATATATGTTTATAGCCTCCGCAGCTGAGATTCTTACTATTGCCACGGCATTACAGAATTGATGCAGGGCTCTCCATTCAGAGACAATGAACATACTTTTTATGCATTTTCTAACCTCCCTAATCATTCTAAGCTTGTGTTAGTTTCAGGATCATATTATACAGATAAACAGAGGTTTAGAAGATATTTATTTATTATAGGTATTTATATAGCACCATTAGTTTACACATCGTTTCACAAACTATTCATTCACATCGATCCTTTCCCTCACGAAGCTTACTATCTAACATCCCTTATCTTGCATGCACACAATGGGGCAAATTACCTACCAGCATATCTTTGGAGTATGGGAGTAAACCAGAATATCCAGATAAAACCCACTCCACACAGACAGCATCCTGTCCGGGATTAAAACTAAGAACGCCAATACTGCTTGGCAGAAGTGCTAAACACTAAGCCACTTTTCTGTCCGTGCCTTTTAGAGACTGTTTTTCTAGTTCAGGACTCTGACTCTGCTAATGTTTTCTCTTAGCAGGCTACTGGCTCTTTGTTTCCTCTTTGCCTCAGCATTTTGATTATTGGAGGTTTAATGCTAACCTATAAAACACATATACCTCCTCGCTCCTGGCAGATGAGCTACTCAATCAGCTTTTGCTGAAAATTAAAGGAAGATATTAAAATTAGAGATAACTATTTTAATCATAACTTCCTGGTTTGTTTGGCTATATTTAAAGGCTGGCAGAATGGGTTTATGCATTGCATTAACAGCATAAATGATGTTCCAGATTTTTGCACCTAACTAGTGGTTAAGTTAGGTTTGGGTAAAGAGGTTCTTTGTGATTAGTAGACATAGGGGAAGAACAGGGCTTTACATTAAGGCTTCCAATGGCCATCACCACTGGGTGTGTTTTTCTATTCTTATAGCTTAATTTTTAAACCATACATTTTTTGTGTTTGATCTCCTGCAAAAGCATTGCAGGGTGATAATGGCCCTTATTTAACCATAGTCAAAAAAACATTCAATGTATCATAAAAGGTAATGATTATGCTTATATTGGCAATTTCATCTAACATTAGTGATAATGCATTACATAGTTATTAAATATAGATCAAACCAAAGGGGATAATTTTTGTATCTTGGAACAGTGAGACATTTGAGATAACACCCTGAGGTATAACATTTCATTTAGGAATACATGCCTGAATTACTAAGAGCTCTATAAAAAGCAATGCATCCCATTTGAATGTTCACAGTTTACATTCAAATCCAAAACTATACTTATGGTGCAGAATCAAAATACAGCACAGACATGTATTAAAAAGATAATTAACAGATCATTTTTCTGACAAACTATTTTACATTTAGAGACCTTCCCGTAATTCACAAAAGTAGTAAGAGAAGATGAATGGTTGCAATTGTGATTCATGAATTGTTCGATTGTCCCCTGACTGGCTAAATCTGTGCATTTATATTAAGGAAAAGGCAAACACTGAAATAATTTTATTACATCCTTTGTGTGACAAATTCTAGTAGAGTTTGAATACTTAATATATATATTTTAAGATATTTTTTTCATATACATTTTCTATTACATTTTGAAGAATGCCTGTGAGAAACGGCACTGCAGTTATGGAATTTATTCTTCTTGGACTTTCTACTGATCCAAAAATTCAAGTTATTCTTTTTCTTATATTTATGCTTGCTTACATGATCATTTTGATTGGAAACACAATCTTTATTATTTTAATTGTAACAAACACCAGTCTTCATACACCTATGTATTTCTATCTTTCAAACCTCTCTTTACTGGATCTCTGTTATGCAACTTCAGCTCTACCAAGGATGCTGAGAGATTTGATGTCAGTGAAAAAGACAATCTCTTATGCAGAGTGTGCAACACAGATGTACATGTCTCTCTCTTTGGGTGAAACGGAGTGTATTCTGCTAGCTATTATGGCATATGACCGTTATGTTGCTATATGTTATCCGTTACACTACACTACTATCATGAGTAAGATGGTCTGTGTCAGAATAGCTGCTAGTACATGGCTATGCGGGTTCCTTCTTTCTATTTCTCATGTGGCTCTTACGCTAAATGTAGATCTTTGTGGAAACAATGTAATTAATCATTTTGTATGTGAAGTACCAGAAATCCTATCTCTGTCATGTGAAAATATTATTTTTGTTGAATTCATTATTTTTGTGGTTGGGGTGGTTATTCTTTTGACTCCTGTCACATTTATTGCAGTTTCATATATTAAAATAATTTTAAGTATCATTAAAATTGCATCATCAGGTGGTCGGAGGAAAGCCTTTTCTACGTGTGGTTCTCATATGATAGTTGTTACAATATTTTATGGTTCAGCTATGGCTGCCTACATGAAACCTAGGTCAAGCTCAGTACCAGGAACAAACAAAGTTATTGCCATCTTTTATGGAATAGTACCTCCGATGCTAAACCCAGTAATTTATTCTCTTAGAAATAATGATGTTAAAGTGACATTTTGGAAATTTAGAAACAGTCTTTTTGTTTCTAATAAGAGAGGCAAAATATTCATAGATGTTAAATAATTATTTCAATACAATAAGCAGTGGGAGACTGAAAGTACTGCGGTGTTAATAGGTACAGCCCACCCCTAATAAACAAATATAGAATCAGTAAACACTGCACTTTCCCACCTGTGGAATGCATTCCCAGTGATGTTAAAGTCATATAATATCCAACCCCAAACCTGTATCAAGCACAATATATGCACAGGGATGACAGGATTCTCTAAGCACAAAGGGCCACTATCCACTTCCAACAGCAAATATACAGCAAATACCTCACATAGGATTCTGAATTCGATTAGAGTTGTAACATCCAGATTGCTGTGCCCGAAGCAAAATATAAATAATTTTACTTTTTGCTAAAGGTCACTACAGGTCATGAAATCAGCTTTCTTTCTCATAATCTCTGCTGAAATAACTCAGTTGATGTTTACATGCACCAATCACAATATATGCATCAACACAGGTCCTCCTTTGGTATTTTCACTCAGTAAACACTTTATTAGCAACTCTGCTAATAAGTAGGTACAAAAGATAATGCAGACAATAATAAAATGTAAAGAATAGGATTTTTTTTTAATTGCCAATCTGAACAAAAATAAAAACATTTAAACATCTGGAATATCCCATAGCAACATGCCAACCCTGGTTTCATATTTTAATGTCTTTTTCATAGGATCACCTAAGAACCCCCAAAAGATTGAGTATACGCCTCTTTGTATAATTCAGTGGATGTGTGAGACCTAGTTATAAAGACGCATCTTAATGTAATAATACATGTATGTTTGTCTATCAGGCTTCTCACAGAAAATTATCAAATCAGACCCATAATTTATTGATTTCTTTATTAGCTTTTTTCTATACCCCCAACATGGTCAGTCACTGGTTACAGTCATTTAGTATATTACAAAGTGGAGCTGCTATGGGTCCTAAGAGTGTAGGGGGGGGGGGGGACACCTTTGGGGGGGACAGAGTTTTT